TCTGTCTGTCTGTCTGTCTTTTTTATTTCTAATTGTCTATCTTTGTGTATCTCTCTCTCTCTCTCTCTCTCTCTCTCTCTCTCTCTCTCTCTCTCTCTCTCTCTCTCTCTCCTCAAGGTCATCACTATACACCTGTACTCAGTATTCAGGTAAGATCCCTAGACCCGTGTTGACTATAGGAACAAATAACATCGCGCTTGACGTTAGTAACTTCTGGGAAGGTGGTGTGTGTGTGTGTGTGTGTGTGTGTGTGTGTGTGTGTGTGTGTGTGTGTGTGTGTGTGTGTGTGTGTGTGTGTGTGTGTGTGTGTGTGTGTGTGTGTGTGTGTGTGTGTGTGTGTGTGTGCGTGTGTGTTGTGTCATGTCATGCATGTAGACAATTAGTACAGTTGGTTGGTATAGTGATGTCATAGTTGATGTCATATGGTCATCCAATTAGAAGCGTTTCTTGACAGATGGTCGATGTGAAGGGGTCATTAACACACACACACACACACACACACACACACACACACACACACACACACACTGGACACTAAATATGGCTACCACCGGACAGAAGTAGTAGCCTCCATTATAAGGAAAAACTTGAGACACTCGCCCTGCCTTACGCCCGCCTCATTAATCTCACCGGATGTGGACGTGGTGAGAATAACTGAAGTTAATAACACCTGCTAAGGATAATAAACGTGGAGTGTGCATGGATATTTTAACTCTTGCTTTATATATTATCTGACCTTTCACCTTATCTAACCTAACCTAACCCAACCTACTTTAATCTAACGTAACCTAACCAAATCTAACCAAAACCTAACCAAACATAACTAAACCTAACGTAAACCTAAACTAACCTAACCAAACCTAACCTAAACCAATCCTAACCTAAATCTAACCAAACCTGACCACACCATACCTCACCTCACAGGCTGCCGCAGGTTAATTGTGTCCAGTGAGGCAGGTAAGCCTTGTCCGGCGGCCTAAATATATACAGTTGTCCTTAACCTTCACGGCGGACGGGCTCAGGAATGCTTGCTTGCTGCCCGTCCTTGTGTCTGTCCGTGTGTCTGCCTGTCCGTGTGTCTGTCCGTCCGTGTGTACGTCCATCCGTGTATCTGTCCGTCCGTGTGTCCGTCCTCCCTTCTATCTGTCCGTCCGTGTGTCTGTCCGTCTGTGTGTCTGTCCGTCCGTGTGTACGTCCGTCCGTGTGTACGTCCGTCCGTGTGTCCGTCCGTCCGTGTGTCTGTCCGTCCGTGTGTCTACGTCCGTCCGTGTGGCCGTGTCTGTGTCTGTCCGTCTGTGTGTCTGTCCGTCGTGTCTGTCCGTCCGTGTGTACGTCCGTCTGTGTCTGTCCGTCTGTGCTGTCCGTCCGTGTGTAAGTCGTGTGTACGTCCGTCTGTGTGTCTGTGTCTGTCCGTCCGTGTGTACGTCACGTCCGTCAACACGTCCGTCGTGTCTGTCCGCCGTGTGTGTCTGTCCGGCGTATGTTCGTCCGTCCGTACGTCAGAATGTGAAGTCGATAACTCAAACAAATATAGGTGGATCCTAACCTAACCCTTAAGCCCTTCAGGTTACGAACAAAAATCTGATTATTAGACAAGATTCACACACACACACACACACACACACACACACACACACACACACACACACACACACACACACACACACACACACACACACACACACACATGACCAAAGACCTTCGACATAGGATATAAATTTATTAATCTTTGAAATATATAGATTCATTGGAAGTTTAATTAAAGTGTGAAAGATAATGACTCTCAGGTGAGCCTTATAACTCTCTATTATTAATTAAGTGTAATATACCAGCGTTAGTCTGGCTTGTCTTCCTTTGAGAGTTAATTAAAGTGAGGATGTAGTGAACATGTAGGGTGGGTGGGTGTGTGTGTGTGTGTGTGTGTGTGTGTGTGTGTGTGTGTGTGTGTGTGTGTGTGTGTGTGTGTGTGTGTGTGTGTGTGTGTGGACGTCAATGCTCTACGATTCTGGACGAAGGGACAGAGAGCCTTCTTTAATATCAGGACGTTCGACCCCATGTCCATATGTTACCGTCACTTGTCTGTCTCTCACGGTTGCACACAGGAGGAACGAGAATGACGTGAACAGAGCGTAAGAGCAGAGAATCCAGAACTTTGGGCAGGATGGGACCAAGTGCAAAGTGCTTCTATGCTAGACTGGCCGAGGTCTTATCAGAACAGAAGAAGTATCAGCCCAGAAGTTACGTTACAACCTGGAAGAGATGTCCACTGTCCTTCTCTCTGCTTAGATCTGCATTGCTTTGCCTCAGGGGAACGAAATAATCGACCCCAAAGCCAAGAACAGTCGCAGACATAGACTATGAAGCAACAGTCACTGAATGCTGCACAGATCTATGGCTTAACTATCTCAGCTAGGGTAGTTACTTTTGTATTAGGATAGTTAGGTGATAACATGTATGGAGGTATGGCTATAAGGGGAGGTTGGAGGTCATATTGAAAAAAAAGTAGTAGTAGTAGTAGTAGCAGTGGCAGAAAGATCACTCCTTGCACTACCACCAAGACTGGGAAGAATGGGACTAACCAATCCAGAGGAGATTGCTGCCGCCGAACATCAAAATTCAGTTAAGCTCACGGCAGCCCTCACGGACCACATAATAGCTCAGAACGCAACAGGGGAGGTGCATACCAGTGAAGTAAACAAGATTCGAAGGTCCATTACGACAGAACGACAGCGCAGCCAAAGTAATAAGCTGCAGCAACTGCTGCTGCAAGTACCAGAGAATTTGAAGAAAAAAAGTAGCTACAGCGCAGGAGGTGGGCGCCTCAAACTGGTTAACTACGTTACCGATAAGGGCAAATGGTTTCAGTCTTAATAAACAAGAATTTACAGATGCAATTGCTCTAAGGTAAGGTCGGCCAGTAGAAGGTCTGCCCTCCCCCCCCCAAAAAAAAAGTGGTGGTGGTAGTAGTAGTAGTAGTAGTAGTAGTAGTAGTAGTAGTAGTAGTAGTAGTAGTAGTAGTAGTAGTAGTAGTAGTAGTAGTAGTAGTAGCACTGTCTAACTGAACACAAAATTCTAAAAAAAACAACGTTCATCTTTCTCATAAAACTGAACGATATACTTTGGTTCATGGTATAAACTGTTTGTGATTGAGGGTTTTATATTTCAAGTCTTAAATCCGGGTCACATTGCGGTTAATCGATAAATCCCGAGCTTTTAATTCGGCGTAACATTGTCGTTAATTACCACCATTAAATTGAGTTGGAGTCTGTGTGTATATCCGTACCCTGAGGCCTGTATTGTCATCTCTCTCTCTCTCTCTCTCTCTCTCTCTCTCTCTCTCTCTCTCTCTCTCTCAACAGAAGAACAACGTCCACACATCTAATTGAAAATAATAACCACCATTCTCTCGTTCAATCACACAATAATAACATTGCAGATACAAGTAATTATCATTTGGTGTTAGTATTATTACCTTTATTAGTTTAAAATGAGGTGAAGTTATTTTGAAGTTACTGGGATTTATATGAAGGCAGAATGATTGCTTATGTTATTGTTATTAGTGTTATGTACCCCACAGCCCCCAATTGAGGGTAACAAGAAACACGGGGGAAGACTCACTACCGCACACCTACAAACGCTAAAATAATGACCAGGTAGAGAGAGGTGCCAGGTACTGTCGTATAGTTAATTAGCCCCCTTAGCTCCTCTGCTTATTACACCTGATGGCTATACACCTTATCGCTACCTGGGGGGGGGGGTTGGAATTACGTATTGTTAGGTTAGGCTAGGTTAGGTTAGGTTAGGTTAGGTTATTGTAACCTGGAGTTGTTAGAAAGAGAAAAGAAAATAGAGAAAGACAGTGTGTTATTGTACCTGGCAAGGAAGTAATTTAAACCTATAACTTACCTGTGACTCAGGTAACTTGTGAAATAAAACTGAGATAATGAGCTACCTGATCTCTCTCTCTCTCTCTCTCTCTCTCTCTCTCTCTCTCTCTCTCTCTCTCTCTCACTGATGTTTTTGCCCTTTCTCTCTCGCTCTCTCAGCCACCTCTGGACAGCCGGGAAGGTCAGACAGTCACCCCCCACCCCTCCCCCAACTCCCTCCAAGGTCAAGTTCAATGTGAAGGCTAATGGAAGACCTTAAACTTTCCCTTACCCTTCCCCTCCCTCTTCTCCCTTACCCTCATCCCCTTACCCTTCTCCATCCTTCCACTTCCCCTTACCCTCAACCCCTTATCCCTATTCACCCACACAGTCACCTCTAGTCTCAATAATACCTGCAAGCATCACCGCCACTCTCTCTCTCTCTCTCTCTCTCTCTCTCTCTATAACCCCCCATTTAACACCTGAAACCTCCCCCTCCCTCAACCTAACCACACGAAAGGAATAAAGTAAAGACCCCCCCCTTATACATTCTACCACAACTGGAACTCTTTCTCAAAATACACACACACACACACACACACACACACCAGGTGAGCCATAGATCGTAATTACACTAAGTCAGAGCCAGCCAACGCCACACCTGGTAACAAAAGCCAAAGGAATTTTTATCGAGTTCCTTTTCTATTACCAAGGAGAAGGTGGGCTTTTTAAACCCACCGAGAACCTGACTATAGTGTATAAGGTGGGCTAGGGGTGGGTTGGAGGTGGGTTGGATGGAATGGGTACGGGATGGGTTTGGTACGAGTGAGTGGGGGGAGGGGGGGGTTAGAGGAAGTGCGTAGGTTAGGTTAGGTTAGGTTAGGTTAGGTTAGGTTAGGTTAAGGTTTGGTTAGGTTAGGTTAGGTTAAAGTCCTATAGGATGGCGTCATATATAATGCCTCGTAGGATTAGTGAAGGAGTCTTATCAAGATTATAACGAGGCTAATATTTTCCCCTTGATGGATTATATTATACTTGAGTTGAAGGACAATATAACATATTTTAGGGATATTTTATATAATTTTAGGGATATTTTATATAATTTTAGGGATATTATAAGCGAACATAAGATTCCTATAATGCTTGTAGGAGTTGGTATAGTGGGCTGCGGGTTGGAGGTAGTGACTTGTGGATGTGGATATGGGCTTGTGGATGTGGGTATGGACTTGTGGATGTGGGTAGCTGCTTGTGGATGTGGGTATGGACTTGTGGATGTGGGTATGGACTTGTGGATGTGGGTATGGACTTGTGGATGTGGGTATGGACTTGTGGATGTGGGTATGGGCTTGTGGATGTGGGTATGGACTTGTGGATGTGGGCGTATGGACTTGTGGATGTGGGTATGGGCTTGTGGATGTGGGTACTGCTTGTGGATGTGGGCGTATGGACTTGTGGATGTGGGTATGGACTTGTGGATGTGGATATGGACTTGTGGATGTGGGTATGGGCTTGTAGGGTGTGGATGGCATAGTTTGTGACTCGAGGCATGAATAAAGCCTCTGGGGACATTTTATAAAGCTGCCACCGCAAGAGCCTAATAAACTCTGTCTCCACGGTGAGCCTTTAAGCCCGACCATTAGGGAAGACTACTCAAGCCTCCAACACCTGCCTCCTCCCGTGTCCCGAGGGCCACCTGGGCGGGAGTATATGGTGTAGAAGCTGTCACCAACACGGCATCCACCCTGAGTTAAACGCGCTGTAGGATTCAGTGTCAAGGACTAATCCAAGAAGATCGGACAATTCGGTAACTGCGCTGGCTAACCGTTACCCTGGAATACGATCAGCAAATGGCTAACACACACACACACACACACACACACACACACACACACACACACACTGACACTGACTCGTCTACAACTAAATTCGTATTAATTTGCAAAAAAAAAACATACGAAAAAACTTATCTGTACGAGAGATGACTTGCTGGCCATTTAAACATCAATTTCCTCTTACAAGAATAAAAAAACCGAACGATTTACGATATTTGACGTAACAGTAAGAAATTATTGCCATTATCTTGGAAACTTTTGGTGGCGGGAAAATATATTGTCTATATGCTTGCTGAATCACTGTTAAGTTATATGACGAATAAGACTCTCTCTCTGTCTCTCTCTCTGTCTCTCTCTCTCTCTCTCTCTCTCTGTCAGATATATCAACCTCTCAAAAGCCTCCTCAACCTCCCTTCACCTCCCCACACACACACGCACTACGACACCCCCACACACACTATGACACCCCACACATCACTACGACACCCCCACACACTACGACACCCCACATACTACGACCGTCCCTCCCCCACACACATACACTACGACCCCCCACACACACACACTACGACCCCCACAAACACACGACCCCCACACACACATACACTGACCCCCACACACACTACGACCCCCACACACACACACTACGACCCCTCCCCCACACACACATGACCCCCCACACACACACACACTATGACCCCCCCCACACACACACACACTATGACCCCCCCCATACACACATACACTGACCCCCCCACACACACTGCGACCCCCACACACACACTACGACCCCCCTCCCCACACACACACATACACTACGACCCCCCACACACACACACTACGACCCCCCACACACACACACACACTACGACCCCCTCCCCACACTACGACCCCCCACACACACACACGACCCCCCTCCCCCACACACACAGCGGGTCAGAGATCTTCCCGTTCGGTCTCAGTACAAAGTTCAACATCCCGGCTGTGTTGTCTTAAGGTGAACCTCTGTAATGTATTGTTCAAACCTCTGTGACCCGACCCACAAGAGTGAGCCTAACACACACACACACACACACACACACACACAGTGACCGCAAAAACACACACACACACACACACACATACCACAAAACACACACACACACACACACACACACACACAAACACATTGGCATTTTCTGCAGTTTCATGATGGTTTTTGCAAAGAAGTAAAGATAGGAAGAGAGAAATAGAGAAAACCGGACAGACAGACAGACAGACAGACAAACAGACAGGAGGAAAGATAGACAGAAAGAAGAAAAAAAATGAGAAAATATTGAACAAATTTCGCCAAAATATTGTTACACAAGAAAAAAGAAAATAGAGAAAAATAGAGAAAATAATAGAGAAAATAATAGAGAAAATAATAGAGAAAATAATAGAGAAAATAATAGAGAAAATAAAAGAGAAAATAATAGAGAAAATAATAGAGAAAATAATAGAGAAAATAATAGAGAAAATAAAAGAGAAAATAAGAGAAAATAATAGAAAAATAATAGAGAATATAATAGAGAAAATAATAAATAAAATAATAGAGAAAATAATAGAGAAAATAATAAATAAAATAATAGAGAAAATAATAGAGAAAATAAGAGAAAATAATAGAGAAAATAATAGAGAAAATAATAAATAAAATAATAGAGAAAATAATAGAGAAAATAAGAGAAAATAATAGAGAAAATAATAGAGAAAATAATAAATAAAATAATAGAGAAAATAATAGAGAAAATAAGAGAAAATAATAGAGAAAATAATAGAGAAAATAATAGAGAAAATAATAGAGAAAATAATAGAGAAAATAATAAAGAAAATAAAAGAGAAAATAATAGAAAAAATAATAGAGAAAATAATAGAAAAAATAATAGAGAAAATAATAGAAAATAATAGAGAAAATAAAAGAGAAAATAATAGAGAAAATAATAGAGAAAATAATAGAGAAAATAACAGAAAATAAAAGAGAAAATAAAAGAGAAAATAATAGAGAAAATAATAGAAAAATAATAAAGAAAATAAGAGAAAATAATAGAGAAAATAGAGAAAAATAGAGAAAATAATAGAGAAAATAGAGAAAAATAAGCCAAATAATAGAGAAAATAATAGAGAAAATAATAGAGAAAATAATAAAAATAATAGAGAAAAAAATAAAAGAGAAAATAGGAGAAAATATTAGAAAAATAATAAAGAAAAATAAAAGAGAAAAATAATAGAGAAAATAATAGAGAAAATAATAAAAGAAAATAATAGAGAAATAATAGAGAATAATAGAAAAACAAAGAGAAAAGAAGAGAAAAATAATAAAGAAAAATAATAGAGGAAAAATATTAGAAAAATAATAAAAGAAAAATAAAAGAGAAAATAAGGAAAGAAAATAATAGAAAATAATAAAAGAAAATAATAGAGAAAAATAATAGAGAAAATGAAGAGAGAAAATAACAGAAAAATAAAAAAGAAAAATAAGAGAAAATAATAGGAAAATAAATAGAGAAAGTAATAGAGAAAATAATAGAGAAAATACAGAGAAAAAATAATAGAAAAATAATAGAGAAAAATAAAAGAGAAAATAATAGAGAAAATAGAGAAAAATAGAGAAAATAACAGAAAATAAAAGAGAAAATAAGAGAAAATAATAGAAAAATAATAGAGAAAATAATAGAGAAAATAATAGAGAAAATAATAGAGAAAATAATAGAGAAAATAAAAGAGAAAATAATAGAGAAAATAATAGAGAAAATAATAGAGAAAATAATAAAGAAAATAATAGAGAAAATAATAGAGAAAATAACAGAAAATAAAAGAGAAAATAAGAGAAAATAATAGAAAAATAATAGAGAAAATAATAGAGAAAATAATAGAGAAAATAATAGAGAAAATAATAGAGAAAATAAAAGAGAAAATAATAGAGAAAATAATAGAGAAAATAATAGAGAAAATAATAAAGAAAATAATAGAGAAAATAATAGAGAAAATAACAGAAAATAAAAGAGAAAATAAGAGAAAATAATAGAAAAATAATAGAGAAAATAATAGAGAAAATAATAGAGAAAATAATAGAGAAAATAATAGAGAAAATAATAGAGAAAATAATAGAGAATAATAGAGAAAATAAAAGAGAAAATAAAAGAGAAAATAATAGAGAAAATAATAGAGAAAATATTAGAAAAATAATAAAGAAAATAAAAGAGAAAATAATAGAGAAAATAATAGAGAAAATAATAAAGAAAATAATAGAGAAAATAATAGAGAAAATAATAGAGAAAATAACAGAAAATAAAAGAGAAAATAAGAGAAAATAATAGAAAAATAATAGAGAAAATAATAGAGAAAATAAAAGAGAAAATAATAGAGAAAATAATAGAGAAAATAATAGAAAAAATAATAGAGAAAATAAAAGAAAAAATAATAAGGAAAATAATAGAGAAAAGAGAGAGAGAGAGAGAGGTAACAGATCTACATACATTTCTTGAGTGGACGTCGCCAGGCAGTGAGGTATCAGGGCTCGGTCTCCACATTCCAACACCTCACCTGCGGTGTTCCCCAGGGGACCAAGATGGGACCACTGTGCTTCCTCATCCTGATCAACGACGCTCTATCGGACACTCCTCACAGGTGGAAGTACGTAGATGACTGCACTGTGGGGGTTTCAGTGGACAACACCGCACCAGACTACTCATCGCTACAAGGCACCTTGGACAGGCTACAGGCATGGACTACGGAGAACACGGTCACCATCAACCACACCAAAACCGTAGTCATGCACTTCAATACCGCCACCACTCCAGTGCAAGCCCCAGCAGTTACAGTGGGTGCCCATCCTCTCCAGCTGGTGCAGTCTGCCAAACTCCTGGGTGTTGCTATAGACAACAAACTTGACTGGAAGGCCCATGTAAATAACACAGTCAAGGCAGCCTCGTACCGTCTCTACATGCTACGACGACTTAGGTCACTTGGGACACCCACGCCAGAGCTGAGGACCATCTACAACGCCTTTATTCTCCCTAAACTAATGTATGTGTCACCAGCCTGGTCTTCTTCTCTCAACTTCACCCAACAACGACAGCTAGAGAAGGTACAGAAAAGGGCCTGCAGAATCATGCTCGGCGCAGAATACTCCGGCTACACCAACGCTCTCTCCACCCTGGAAATGCCATCCTTCAGTGACCTCCACCACCAAGCACTGGAAAGGTTTGGCAGCCAACTAATGCACCACCCTCGTCATCGCCACCTCCTGCCACCGGCAGGCCCCCACCCAACTCGCGCAGTCCGGCACTACAACAAAATTCAGCCCATAAGAGCCTGCACCGATAGATATAAGAACAGCACCATCCCATCTATTGTTAAAATAATAAACAACTCCTGATTTATGTACTGTACAGTCCCTGTAAATATATTCAATGCATATTATATCATTATGTCTAAATCAAATGTAAGTCTGTAAATTTTCAGCCACCGGCTGCAACTCTATTAATAAACCGTTTATTAATATTATTATTATTACATACATACATACATACATACATACATACATACATACATACATACATACAGTACATACATACATACATACAGTACATACATACATACATACAGTACACACACACACAGACACACACACACACACACAAACACACACAGACAGACATACAGTACATACATACATACATACATACATACATACATACATACATACATTACATACAC